TCATTAATTGTTTGTGAAATATCTGTTATATGAAATATCCAGGCCAAGATGCTGTAGGGAGTGCAAAGATAAATTTTTTTTAAATGGTCCTTTCTTTCAAAAAGCTTATAGTCCAATACAGAAGATGGATTAGATACACAAGTAACTATAACACTGGACAGAAAGTAAAACATGCTCTATGACACACATAGGACAAAGAAAACTGGAAGGCAGGAGAGATTTTTACAGGTAGGTAAATGAAAGAAGATAGGATTGGCACTAGTTTGAGATCTTGAAGAAATAGGGAAGCGCTAGAGGTCAGGTCACTCCAGGCAAGAATGGCAGAAACAATGAAGCTCAGAGTGGCACAGAAGTGGAGACCATGCAAGGAACACAGGACAGCTCAGTGGGAGTACCTACACAGAGTGAAAGACTCTAAGGCCAGAAAGACAGCTAGTGTCAGATTAGAGAGAGCCTGTACTGTCAGCTAAGAAATTGATACTATTCAGAAAAAGATTAATGCAGAAAAATCTAGAGAACACATAAGCAATTCATCACATATCACACAAATATATTATACAAATATACCACCGATTATACACACACACGCGTACATACACACACACACACACACACACACACACACAACCCATTAATATTACTTAGATACAAAAAGGTAAATATAGGGTGGCTTAATTCAGGGAATAAAGTTATGATCTGTCTTTAACGATTAAGAGTAGTAAGTGGATTTCAAGTGGTACCAAAAAAACATATATAAAGTGTAACTAAAACTATATTCTGCATACATGATACTGGCACCATTGTCCTTGTCATACAATAGAAGGTGGAAGAGAAATCTAAGTTGCCAGTGAAAATTGAGAAAGTGGTAGATTTGAGGATGAAAAATGTAGTCTTTAATGCAGACAAATTGGTTTTATAATTCTACTTTGTTCTTTTAAAATTATAGTCTAGGTTTACTGAAAAATGGAGTAACAATTATCCAGCTAATATGCCAATTAGGAAGTGAGTAATCAAGTGAAACAATAATGAAAATGCTTCATTTTTCGGCCAGCAGGTGGCGCCTGTCACTCGGTATAGAAAGCAGCAGGTAATGAAGAATGAAGCGGGAGCGGGTTTAGGGACAGATTACTCATTCATCTATTCAGGAGAAAGATGGGAATAGGTTGTATTCAGAAGCACAATTTATAACGAGGGTCTCAGCTTGTCGGCACGGCTTGTCAATTATACGAAGGACAACCCCTTTATTCTGTCAAATGCACTATAGGTGACAGAGCTTGAATCTGAGCTCTCCTGTTAGGTTTACTGAACTTAGGTATTTCCCTTAACAAATATAATTTGCAATATGTCAGTTTATTGCCTTTGTAAATGTTCTTATAGTCTTTTTTTTGTCTGTATACGTCCTATGAGACTGTGAGAAAAATGATACAGGAAAAAATGCCAACCTCACCATTGAAAAATATATGACTTTATTCAAGTTATTTAACTTCTTTGAATCCCACTTTCCTCTATGTTAAAATGGATATAACTAGCTGGAATGTTGTAGGAATTAAATAGGATATGATGTGAAATGATACCTTTGACCTAGCTACTTCATTTTCTCCTAGAGGGCAAGATCTGATGGCTAGGGCACCTGTTCTATTTACATTTTGTCCTAATCAATGGATAACCACTGAACCTAAAATCCAGAAGGATCTTGATTTATCTAGCCAACACTTCATTTTCCACATCAGAATGCCTGTGGCCATTAAGGCTGAAATGCAAAGCAGTCAGGAAATAGAGTGAGGAGGTTTAGAGAATTTTTATATTTGCCCCCCAGGTCTGATCAGTTGGTAAGTGGCCATGGGTAGCAGGAAGAGAGGACGGGAGGTAGACAAAGAATAATTACAAGGCATATCATTTATATCCTGATGTTGAAAGAATGGGTGGATGGACACTAACAATGGATTTAGTGAGTCATGGTAATAAACCAGTCAGCTCTTGATTTTCCGCCTATACCTGAGTCATGTCTACACCGAACCTGAATGGAGCCAGTGCCTTGTTTTTCTGGTTTTCCTGTCCTTGTTTATAGCACATTCTAGTACTTCTTTTAAAGGAAGGCCAAGAAGGCAGTAAAAATCATACTGAACACTGGATGGTTTTGAGTCTTGTTTCTGGCATCAGGCAGACATCACCAAAATATAATGTTGGAATCCTTTCATGGGTTGTTTTCGTGAAAAGGGGAATTGAGGTGCTCTTTCAGGAGTCTTCTATTCAGCAACTGCTGTATTTAAATTATATATTAGTTGCATCATTATAATGAGTAGCACCATTTTTAAAAGACAGACATGTCACATAAATACTGGGTTTATTGTAAACATATGTAACCTCAGCATGTAATTTAAAAGTTTGGTTCCATGAAGGAACAAGTCAGTGCTCATCTCCAAGTCTCCCTTTCTATTGAGCTTTTCCCCGGGAATGCCTTGTCCTGTTTCCTCTATTTACCTTAAATAGACATCAAGACACAAGCTAAGTGCTACTTGCATGATGAAACTTTGATGCTACAAAGTTTAATAGCAAACTTCTACTGTAGTGTCTGTTACAATCAGACAAGTACTGAGCTAATTACTATCTGACTAATTTTAAATAGCTGCTCTACTTGTTCCACAAAGAAGACTGTGTATCATCTGAGGGCATGTTTTATTTATTGAATCCACAACTACCTATTGAATACCTAGTGTATATGCCAGGTGCTGTTTTGGGTAATACAGATTCACAGTAAGTAAACCCAAGACCATTCCTGCTCCCAGAGAGCTTATATTCTGGTGTTAGAGTTACCCTGCCTTGCCCACAATATTCAGCCTGGGACAGAACCAAGGGCAAATATGTGCTCAATGACCTCCTCAAAATTAACTGGCTGCCTACAGCTGAGCAAACCCCAACCCAAAGCTTTCCTTGATCACCACAAAGACAGGGTCAGTTAGAGGCAGTGAGTCCTGAAAAGTATGCTAAAGATTCTAGGAATCTTTTCACAAGAGGATTTTGAAAAATTTGCCTTTCACAAAAGGAAAAGGGAGGATAGTGAGGACTCTTACACCTTTGAACTAATGGTAGTGGATTCCCATGTAAGTACTGATAAACTTCTTTGTTTACATTTGAAACAAACCGAATCCATAAACCTGGATTAAATTTTCATGGAAAAAAAAATCAGCTTCCAGGAAAAAAAGAATAAGCAAAAGCGATGGCACAAATTCGTTACTCCACTAACTGCCACCAAAATGTCTACCTCAGTGATGAATAAAAAATTCAGTCCTAAACAAACAACAAGTTAATTCAGTCTTTGTGATTGACACTATTAATATCCAAAGGTTAGCTGGGATCTCTATAGGAAAGAAAAAAAAGACATTCAGAGATGGTAATAAAGATAAAATCAATTCAGGATGTGCTGAATGCCTTCACAAAGCTCCAAGGAGTGTAAACAAAATAAGAAACAACAAACTTAAGATATGTAATTTTTTAAATATCAGAATTTACCTAATTATTCATTAAAAGGCTGTGAAACCTTTACTTCTACTTTCTGTTAGCAAAGCCATTACAAGTCTTAAAAACTATGGACACTTGAGCCACTTTTTTAAGACAGGGAATGCTTAGAATGTGCTTTCAAAGTGACTCTCAGTATCTTTCCAAGAGAGACCCTAGGAGTGCAGGCTGCAAGGGAAAGTTTGGGTGTCTTTGGTTGCAATCTCAGGTGTATCTGACTTGTATTGCAGATTTCTAAAAAGGTGGGTGAGGTAAAGGTAAAGTGTAGCTTCTAAAAGCCCAGGAAAATACCCACTAATAAGGTGCTAAGGTTGGAGGTTTTAACTTCCACTTCATCTTTGAATTTTCTATTTTAATGAGTATTGTATTTTCTGACATCTACAGAGGAGTCATCACATTTGGACACATGCTACGGACCTTCTCAAGTGCTACTTGAGGAAGCTGACAGGCTACACACTTAAAAAATGCTGAATTTGGGTGCTAAATCTATAAAGTAAAGATCTAATTACTTTATTAGTTAAGAAAATAAAAAAATTTTCTTACACTTGGAATTACCATGGTTACTTTATGTCGACTAATAGCAATGTTTCAGTTATTGAATTTCCTAACAAATATGACTTTGATTTTTTAATTAATATGCTATTAATTTAAATATGTTAAGTTAAAACAAAACAAAAAACCTTTTTACCTTGAAAATCCTCCCTCAGGGAAAAAGTATAATGAAATAAAAATAGACTAACCTTTGGAGTTATACAAACCCGTGTCCCCACCTTGGCCATACAACCTTGGACATGCTAGCTGACCCCTATATGAAGTTCTATGTGCAATTACAGACTGGAAATAAATGTCTCTATTCCTTACACACATTGTTGTGTAGATAGACTTAGCTATCTACACAAAGTGACACATGTACAGTATTTTTTTGTTGTGTAGATAGACTTAGCTATCTACACAAAGTGACACATGTACTATACACATGTACAGTATTTTTTTTTTTTTTTTTGAGTTGGAGTCTCACTTGGTCTCCCAGACTGGCTGGCCGCTTCCGGCCACCACAGCCTCGCCTGCTGGGCTCCGGCGATCCTTCCGCCTCAGCCTTCCGAGTAGCCGGAATTACAGGCATGCGCTACCACGCCCGGCTGATTTTTTTATTTATTGTAGAGATGAGGTCTCGCTGCCCAGGCGGGTCTCGAACCCGTGGGCTCAGGCAATCCACTCACCTCAGCCTCCCAAAGGCGCGGGCATTACAGGCTGAGCCACCGAGCCCAGCTATATGTACGGTATTTTTTACAAAACTCTCCTAATTCCCCTGAATTCAACCTCTGGAACAGTGCTTAGATCCAAAATTTTAAAAAGAAGACAAAAAGGATGCAGGGGGAGGCTACACATTTTACTCAAATAAACCATATTAGTCAATGTGCATATGAGAAATCAACAGGTCAAGAGTCACAGTAGACTTTGGAAAGAATTCAGTAACAGCTTACCTGTGGCTGCTGTTCTGCCAGTCGATTTTGATACCTTTGGATCGACTCTGTAAGTTGCTTCTCTTTCTCATTTTTAGATGGTGATACTGTGTTCATGGTGCCCAGGGGGATGGAAGGTAGACGTTCTATCTGATGACAGCTTCAGAATCAACAAGAACAAGATTAACTTCAGGAGGAAATATGAAATGATTATACTTACTATAAGAGATGATTTACTCCTACAAAGAGTTACTCTTTGTGTCATATATCCAAAATTCAAATAACAAAGGAAAAGCATTGTGCTGATGACTTTAGTTAATAAATGACTTAAATCTCCAATTTGCATGGAAAAAGCTTAATAAAAAATGTGGACAGTAGCATATATTTATGAGGATGGAGGGTATCAATTATTTTGCTAATGCTTCACTTATTCTACATTATCATAAAATGAGGCCTTTTTTGAAAATGTTTTTTAGATCACTGAAGCTTATCTCATTACTGCCAAATGTTTTTTTTCCCCAAAAAAAATTTGGCATAGAAATATATGTCTGTCTAAAATATGTCAAATAATTTTGCCTCTGCAACACATGGATCATTTGTTTGATGGCTCAGGATCACTGTGAAGACCAGTGACTACATGAAATGATGCAGCAACAGTAGCAGCCTTGGGAGTTACTGCGCTATGTTGAGCCCCTTCACCAAGCAGCCCGGGTGACCTTGACCGTAGCACCTACCCAGGTGCTGCTGCCCTAAGAGTATCTGCTTTTGGCACTCTGCTTCCCAGTCTTACAGATGTGCTGTTTCTAATAACTAGTGGGATAATAAATATGTAATCATGTAGAATTACTTGTAAATGGACAATAAACTGGCTATGACCAAGCATATCCCTTGTAAGGCTTACACAAAAATACTAATGACTCTCAAAACACAGGGTTTGGAAGGTTTAAAGCCTTTTTTTTCCTTTTCTTACTTTTGATTTTGTGCCTCTGAACTAGGGAACTGAGTTGGCCCAACTATTAGAAAAGTAAAATATTATTTTGTTCAGGTTGGTATCAAGGCTTGACACAGATAAGTTCAACTACCACTGGGCATAGCTTTGATTCAGGGCACGGCTAGGGTCATGCGGTAGAGGGCACAATGTTGAGGTCAGTTCTTCCAATATGCTCCAGGTCAAGGAGTTTTCTATCATTATTTCTATGGGGGGGGGGAGAGTGTTCTACTTGGCTATCAAACAGAGAAGAAAAGGACAAAGTTTGAAGAAAATACATGGGTGTCAGGCTAGGTGAGGGAGGAGGAAGTTGAGGATTGAGAGAGGACCTTCTCCTGTCTGTAACAGTGACAGAAAAACAAGTCAGATCAGACTCACTATTTCTCTGTTTTTTAGGGCTACAGTACGTATTTTTCTTGCCCCCCCACCAGCAGAGAAGAGTGAGGAACTACAATCAAATTCAAGTACTACTGTGAAAAAAAATCACTTAATTCCACCCACAGAGTATTCGTTATTATTGTTATTTTCAAAGAAAGGTGCTAGATAAACAAATCCTAGGAAAAACTGCTATATATACAGGCCACCCGCAGTGTTGATTTGAAGACATCTATCTGTAGGGTGGTACCTACATAGGTTTCTATTTCATTTGAGAAAAGAACCTGTGGCAACATTAAGTTTTGATTCAGAAAAGAGAAACCTCAAGTATTCTATTAGAACACAACCCATTGACTTGTCTTCATTTAAAAATTTTTAGAAATGAATTACATTTTCATATGTAATATAACCCACAGATATTTTTAACACCCTTTTTCAAAATTCAGACTTTTTTTGGTTCGGCCAAGTAATAGGCATCATCTTTACCCTGCTGGTGATCCCTATTTTCAATGCAGATAAATGAATGTAATGTATGAATGTAATGGAAACGTACATGATATCTACTTCTCAGGTACTGCGTCGAAAATGCACAGCTGCCTTTGCTGCTTGAAATGGAACACAAAACCAGGCTCCAGTGGTTGAAAAAGAATGACTCCGTTTCACCCTGTCCAGGTTACTGAATACTACCATTTGTAAAATGGGGTATTTTGGTCCATAAAAAGTGTTGGGATGGGATTAAGCCTTCCTGAAATGTAAAAGGATGCCTTCCAAGACAGGATGTGGTGAGGCAGAAAGAGTACAGATTTTGCATCAAAAGCCTGGCTTCCAGTTTCAGCCCTAGGGAGGAATCCTGGGCAAATCACTGAAACTTCACAGCCTCTGTGTTCTCCTCTGAGAAATGGGGAGAGTTCACAGGCGTTTGTAAAGATAAAATGAGATGGCATATATAATTGCTAAGTAAGAGAAAGTCATCATCACATTCCCTGACCAAGTTCTGGTTACACAGATATTGTTCATTCAAATGCTGTCCACTGGCATAGATCCTGCTGACAATTGGCAATTAGCTGCTGACAAGAAACGTATTCTCTGTAAATACAGACAATGATGCTTTTCACCTTATTTCTCTTTCCCTCTCCTCAAATAATGTTCCCTAATAAATAACCACTTCTCCTCACTTTAATACACTTATTTTAAGTGATTCTACCCAATTCCAATGGCACATGTGTCTTAGGGTTTTGCCTCACAATAACCGAGGTCAAGGCATATTCTCAAGGCATACATAGCCCATACTACCATATTGAATTAGAGATCTGAACAAGGTCACAGATTACTCTCTTTCCCCACTGGGACTCTCCATGTCCTCATCACTGTTGATGAACACCCATAAAGGAAGTGCCAACTCTCGATTAACTGTCCTTGTCATCAGTTTTTCTTTATATCTCCTCTACATCTTTTGCTGCCACTCTAAGTACATTTTCTGTTATAATATTTTCAGTGGAAATAAAATACAGATGGTCGATATTATGTCAGTATATTTAAAGAATCAGACTTCAGAAAAGTATAAATACAAGACGACTTTTTGCATTTTAGGCTTTTAAGGTCCATCAGTTTTCTGTCAACACAGATGAATTTATCTTGCCACGCATCACAAGTGGCACTGTTTTGATGTATGAAAGAGATAGAGTTAATGCAGCTTTGAAACTAATGCTGTAATGCTCTGTGATGGTACTACTACTTTCCAAGAGAAGAGGGTGAGAGTGTGCCAATTCAGGGACTTTGGTAAGCTGAAGATGGGGGAAGCTGCAGTAAACAGCATCCCGGTTCTGTGGGTCTGACGATGCCCAAGACTGGTCTAAGAAATCACAGGGATAGGATTATATCTGTTAGAAGTGGCCTAAATTCTTGGGCCTTGCTATCAAGGGACTTCGAGGGACCAGGGACTTTCAGCAGATTGTCCTGACGAGGAGCTCAGCTGGACCCAGAGAAGATGTATCAAGATACCATGATTATACCACATTCCTGTGGGTGGGCAGGTGAGTTAAAAATAGGTTATATCATTTCTCCAAGATTTTATAGTCAGTTGAACCAGGAGTCCGACCCAGGTAATCTTAACCCAGAGCCTGGATTTTATAAACACTATCCCATACTATATGAAAGTTCTTAGCTCACAGTAAGTGACTCATACTATTAACTATTCTTAATATTGAAACTGAGCCAACATTTTGTTCCTACTCAGGAGATAGGTAAGTCTCAAGTTTAGGGATAAACTTGGGTTAGGAATCAGAAGATCCTAGTCAGTGGCGTCATGAACAGGTTTCTTAGCCTTGATTTGGGCTTCAATTCTCACTTTACTAAATAAAGAAGTGAGACTACATCAGTGTTTTATAATCATGCTCTCTCGAACTCTAGACTTTCTGCAGAGAGTAAAGAATATCCACGGAAAGTGGATGGGGGGGCCCTTGGTTCCCAGGTTTCCAGCTTCCAATTCAATCAGGACAATTCTGCATTTCTCTATTTTATATATTTGGGCTCTAGGACAAATTTTATTTGCAAAAAACATAAGTAGTGTGGCAAAACAAGAAAGAGAGAATGAAAAACCCTTGGGCCATGTGAAATCTAAAAGCCTCTGCCACTTCTGAGAGTTCTCTTCAGGCTCAAAATATAATTAACCTGGGGACTCCAGGTGGGAGAGGTTTTAACAGTAGTTTCTGAATGTGTTTTTTTCTTCTTTTTAAATTTTCTTATACTTGCTCTTTTTTTCAGAGCTGGATAAAAATAACCAGAGGAATTATTATCTTAATGTCTATATCAGAAATATTGATCCACTTATCCAGCCCAAAGAACTCATAACAGACTGCACGAAAAAGCAACGCCTGACTCAGGGCACTCCTTGGCTTTGTTAGAGAAGCACTAACTCTTTTTCCCCCAGGGAAAGAATATTAGTCTAAAAGGGCTTGTGATAACACTGGCATCCATCAATATTTAATCAGTCATTTTCCTGTTTTAGTCAGAACTTTTTCCTCCAAGAGCATATAGCAATGAAATCACTATATAACTTAAACAGAAGCAGCACATGGTCTAACAGTGTAATGCCCCTGGAGACACCCTCTGAATAACACTCCTGTATGATAAGGTCATATGTTGCATGAAAATGAACTAGAAGGCAGAACTTTTAAACACCAGGTCATGGTCTCCCCCACTGGAAGTACACCCCAACATCTGCAAGCAGTTACATCCGGATCTCTTTCATTGATGGAAAAGCAAAAAACACACCAATGAAACAATCTTTTCATAGTGGCTAGAAAGAATTTTAAAAAATACCAACCACTAATCTCAAATTCACATATGACGGGGGCCCCCCAAAATGGAATTATTTTTTGAAGGGTGGGCCCCTTGTAGTACAGGCTTCCTCTGCTGGGTAAGTGTTTTAGGATCCTATTGGCATCAGTGTACCAACTAGCATTGTTGTGAAGGCTGTGTTCAGCTTTACTGAAAAAAAATTTTTTTTTAAATTCTTTCAATGTATTTGCCCATTTCATGATGGGTTGTTTATGAGTGCACCTACCCACATTGTTCTGAATGTTCAGCAGTTTTTGACTAAAACCGGCATGCCCCACATACCTTACCCTTCCTATTCACCCGCTTTCACCCCAAATGACTTTTATTTGTTTCCCCAGATGAAAAAGTTCTCAAACAGAAGTGTTTTGCCAATGTGGAAGAGGTGAAACCAAAAACGGTAGAGGCATCAAAATTGGCGAGGCCAAAACACTGTTTTGAACAGTGGAAAAAGCATCAAGATAGATATATTGCATCAAACAAACATAGAATATTTTGAAGGTGACTGAAGTTTAAACATGTAAGAATAAATACACAACGTTTTATAAGTAAACTCAGGTGTTTTTTGGGTACTCCTTATACAGCTGACATTTTCCAGGTTCATACACATGTTCTTTAGGAATTAAAAATGGATATGGAATTATAGAAAGCCATCAAAAACTACCTGTTCTCCGAGAGGTTAGGATTATTAGTACAAATCCAGACATCAAGACACTCTTTTTCCTGATAATAAGTAGAGGAAGGCAAGACTCTCCATTTAAGACAAAGATCTGATCATCAAAATAAAATCACACAAAAGAGACCACAATCAGAAATGAATAATAGATCATAGTAAGATGTAAGTTTGCACATACCAAAAGTATGAGGTCTCTTTCAATCTAAAGACAAGTGAATCCTTTATTATATAACATTATGCTTGAAGGCACAACTATTCCAGAATTTTATGAGCTCTTCAGAATTCCACCAATAAATTATTATTATTATTATTATTATTATTATTATTGCTTCAGCTGCCTCCAGTTAGCTTCTACTACTACCAGCCAAAGGAACACTAAATAACAGATCCCACTCCACCTTTTCTTAAACCACATTAAGAATTCAAATAACCTGACTCTCCCATTTTCTCTGACCTATTACCCATCTGCTGATATCACCACTTTCTGTCTCCAATCACATGATTAACATAAGGAGGAAAATCAAAGTTTCTGAACCATATTCACATTTCCTCTTCTGTACTTTCTCTGCCCTTTTCCTATTCTCCCATCTACCTTTTCTGATTTCTGTGTCCATTTAGGACCAAGGTATCCTACTTTGTTCAGACTACACTTAGGTTGAATAATGAATCTCCTTCAAACACCCTTTTAATGACTCACAGGTAAATACTTGTCTCTGTTCATCTACAGTGGTTAAGAGTCTAAACAGTTCTACCTCTTAATACCTCTATGACCTTGGACAAATTATTATGTTTCAGTGTCATTATCTACAAAAAGAGATTAACATAAGTACTCATCTAACAGGGTTACTGAGGATGAAATGACATTATCATCATCCCTATCATCATTGTCATCACCATCGAAGCCAGCATTGCTAGATACTATCCTAAGCCCTAAACAAACTTTACGCTTATTAGTTCATATTATTCTTACAACTCCATGATGTAGCTGCAGATAATAATCTCATTTCATAAAGGAGGGAACTGAAGCATAAAGAAGTTAAATAATTTGCTCAATTTCATACAGAACTTGGGTACTGAAGATTAGATTTTAACAGTACCTGGCACACATCAAAAACACGGTAATTGTTAGCTGTTATCATGTTAATGATATAGTTGTCACCTACTGTCATTAATTTCCTCAATTATACCTTCTAATACCTGTCATGTATGCTCCTCTTAACTCTCAGTGCCACATCTTGATTTAGACATTTACAATTCCTCATCTGCATCCTAGATTAAAACAGTCAGCTCTTCAGCAGGCTGTACTCTCTCTTTGTTCTAGCCCTCCACGAAATCACCCTTCATTGGGCTGCCAGAGTGACTCCACCCCAAGTTACATCTGATCAGTCAGGCCCTCCTTGGACCACTCCCAGTCAAAATGTTGGAGAAGTGCTCCCTCAGCACTGTGTAAATATTTCTGTAGAGTTTTATACATGATAAGGTGCTTTTCTGTCTACTTTCTCTACTGAACTGATCGCTGCAGCTAGTAAAGACTGTCTTTAATTTCATAACCCTTTGTATATCAATAAATGCTCAATGATGTTATCTATCCTCCTACTGAAAAACTTATAATATCTCCCCATTGTTTATCAAAATGAAACCTTATCCTGGCATTGAAGGCCCTCTAACATGTTAATGCAACCTAGTATTTTTGTCTTTTATTATTTATTCGTTGCTCATTCATTCAGTTGTCAATTCTTACTATGAATTAGACAGTGTTACATATTAAAAATAGAATGATGACTGTTTCTATTACTCCACCACAAACATTTTAGCTGGAGTGTAGACCTGATATTAACTCACATTTCCCTACCTCATCTCTGCTTATCAAAATTCTATTTTAATGACTATCACAAATGCTACTCTGTCACAAAGTCTTGCCTCTACTCCCCACTCTTTCTTTGAACCCTCAAATAACTCTTTGCCTCTACTGCATCATGTACCTTATTTTTCTCCCTATTACAATTACTTTCATGCTTACCTTAATCTCTTTTCTGGACTGCAACCTCCTTGAAAGTGAAAACCATGTCCTACTCACCTTTGTCTCCCACATTCCCCATTTCCTAAACCAATGACTTGCATATTTAAGAACTCATTAATATTTGCTAATCAGAATGGAATATCAACACTCACCACATTGTATGATGAGTGGGATGGCCATGGCTTGTCTTCTTTGATATTGAATAGAATCTAAAGGTTTCTCCATGTCCTTGTTACTCTGGTATCCGAATTCATTCCAAAACAATGTTAGATTTCTATTATCTAAAGGGGGAGAAAGGCAAAGAATAAGGAAAAAAATCAAATCAGTATGATTAGCAAAAGAAAGTCTGTATATAAATACATGTATATATAATATGATCTCAACTGTATAATACTAAGCAGTATACACAGAAATAAGAGATTAAAATGTTAATTATTTCTAATATATATCACATGAGTGAAATCTGTTTTCTGCTTTATTCTCTCCTGTATGTTCCAAATTATACGCAATATCTTTATAATAAAACTAAAGACAAGAGCACTTATTTAAAAAGTATACATTTATTGTTGCAGTAAAACATACTGACATTTAAAGCATTGTTCTAAAGCATTCCCAGGAAGGACTGTACTGATTAAACTTTAAAGGCCATCCTTAAAATTACTGATGCAAATATTTATCATTCCTATCTCAGCTTTTTTTAACCTTTATTTTATCCGTGGGTCCTTTTCTTTCCAGTCTTTACTGTTTAAGTCCCACTCTAGCCCCAAATTCTATACTCCCTCCGTACTTGGAAACATCAAATATCATGGAGAACCATTAGAGAGTCCTCTTTAAAGGCTATGTTATCCTTTGATCCAGTAATTGTACTGCAAAAAGTTTTCCCACAGACATACATAAATGGTCTTACAGCATTGTTTGAATAGTAAAAGTTTGGAAATAATGTAAAAGCCTATGAAGAGAGAACTAATAAATTCTATTACCAAACAATGGAACATTGTCCACCTTGAAAAAGAGGGAGGTACAGTTAAATGCAATGCTGCATCAAGCTGAGATTTTGTTTTAATTTTTAAAATAAAATATAAAATGCACCTCTAGGTAATCATTTTTTATAATTTATAAAAAAGCATATACATATACAATTGTGATAAGCATACTTTTATTTTTCTGAATGGATGCAAAAGGAAGCTTTAATAGTGAATACCTTTAGAGGAGAAATAGAAGTTGAAAGAAAGGTAAGGGAAAATACTTTTACTTTTTACTTTCTTTATACGTTAAATATTTTAACTTGTGCCTATATTACTTAAAACTTTTTTAATTAAAAAAGTTCATGTTGGCAACCCCCTCAGTTCCCCTCCAACTGTGGGAGCTTTTCTGTCTCTCAATAAATCTTGCTTTCTCAAAAATAAAAATTTTTAATTTAAAAATTAAAAAGTCCATGTTTTACTATTTTATCTAATATGGTAATCACTAACCACAAACCACATGTAGTTATTGAGAGAGATATCAGAAAGTGTGTGCTGGAATACAATCCTTGGAAGTATATTAAATAGGACCAGCCTTACTACAACATTAAATCACCTTACACTTTGCTATTTCTGTTAAAATTTAGGCTCAGAATGCTATGGGGCTTTAAGATTAGTTGAAGAAGGATTCTGCCTTCAAAAGAGACTTCCTAGTTGGGCTGGGCTGAAAGCAGACCTCACACACCCCTACGTCTCCTATCTTGTCTTTTCACAAACTCCCTAGCTGCTCCTGCCCCAGATTTTCCTTTGGATTCTGCTTTTAGGACTTCCAATTTAGACTCTCAGTTTCTGCTCTTTGCCCAGTATTTGGTATTGGTCAATCTCTTACTCCAGATTCTGAGGTGCTATTCTCTGATATCCAGAGGGGCTCCCAAGGCTTTGCTTCTCTGATTTCCACATTAACTACTCCAGTCTTTACTGTATCAAGGAGGGGTGGTGCTGTAGACTTTTTAGAATTACAGATTTGCATGTTGGCTCTGTCACATACCACTTATATAATCCTGGGCAGTAAGTGAGTAATTACAATAACTTGTCTTACAGAAGCATCACAAAGATTAAATGTGAAGGCACACTACAAACTATAGAATCTGGAGGATTCTGAGAAAATGGTAGAGTAGGAAGTATCAGAAACCTGTTTCACTACCTAAACAAAAAACCGTAGTGGCAAAATCTGTCTAATGTAACTATTTTGGAACTCTGGAGTTCATTGAAAGCTTGCAACTACAAGGAGAAGGTTTGAATGGTAAACTGTAGTTAATTTCAGTCGTTTCAGCTCTTAGCAACAGGAACCCATTCTACACCTTCAAACCTTGTGGCAGGAAGCTGTGCTCATGTTCCTAGAGGAGCTTGTACAGGGCTTGTAAGAATTAGGGTGGGCAAAAAGACTCTGTCCTCTAAATATTGGGAATCTCTGCTCTGATCACCAACTGCTGCTTATGATCACAAAAATGCAGAAGCACAAAGGGCTGAAGACCATTGTTGTTACAACTACACTCATTGCTGGAAACCCCTCTCCCCCTGGCTGAAGTGACTCCTAGTGGATTTCTCTCTCTCTCCTTCCTTCATCTCTCTCTTTTCCCCCTTTTGGGAGTCAGACTTTGAAGCACATTCAAAAGCAACCACGTATCCAGAGAAAATTAGAAAGTTCTTGCACATGCTCGGGAAAAAGCCCAGACTCAAAAAAACTTGAGAAAACAAGTTTACTCCTCAATCTGAACTTCTGCATACAGACTACCTACAATAATTTAAAAGAAAAACAAAAAGCAAACAAAGCAAAGCTTAGGGAAGGACAAGAATCTGAATTCCAGAATTTCAACATTAAATTCAAATGTCCAGTTTTCAACAACAAAAATCACAAGGCATACAAAGAAACAGAAAGGCATGGTGCATTTAAAAAAAAAAAAAAAAAAGGGTAAACAAACAGAAACTGTCCCTGAAAATAAACCTGATGGCAGATCTACCAAACAAAAACATTAAAACGACTGTCCCAAAGATATTCAAAGGCCTAGAGGAAGATGTAGGGGGGAAAAAAATCAAGAAAATGACATGGGAACAAAATGTAAATATCAATCAATAAATAGAAAACCGAAAAATAAAACAAAAATAAATTCTGAAGCTGAAAAATACAATCACTGAAATAGGAAATTCAGTAGAAGGATTCAAAGGCAGCTTTGAGCAGGCAGAAGAAAAAATTCGTAAACTTGAAGACAGGATAATGAAAACTACTTAAGTCTAAGGAACAAGAAAAAAAGATTGAAGAAAGTGGACAGAGCTTAAGGAAACAGTGAGATACTATCAAATAAAGCAACCTATGTATTTTGGAAGTTCCAGAAGGAGAAGAGAGAGATAAAGAGAAAAAGACTATTAAAGTAATAAAGACTGAAAATATCTCACATTTGATGAAATATATGGATATAAGCATCCAAGAGGCTGAAAAACTCCAAGTAAAGTGAACTCAAAAAGACAACACCAAAACACATTATAATCTAACCGTTTAAAGAAAAAGAGAATTCTGAAAGCATAAGGAGAAAAGCACCTTGTTACATACAGGGGACCCTCAATAAGATTATCAGTGCATTCCTTATCAGAAATTTTGGGAGTCTGAAGCTGATATTTTAAAAGCACTAAAAGAAAACAAGTAGGAATCCTATATCTGACAAAACTGTTTTCAAAGATCAGGGAGAAATCAAGACATTCTCAGATAAACAAAGGTTAAGAGAGTTCATTACCACTAGACCAGCTCTGAAAGAAATGCTAAAGGGAGTCCTGAAGGTTGTAATAAAACTAGCCAGTAAGTAAGTAGAAATTGTATCTTTAAAACCCTATAATTAAACATACATACATGGCCAGTTATAAAACTAGTATTATTGCTTACAATGACAACTATCTACACTTTTTATTTTCTACATAATTTAAGACACTAATGCACTAAAAATGACTATTTTTCACATACAATGTATAAAAATGTAATTCTGTGACACCAATAACTGAAAGAGAGGGGAAGGAGCTTTTTAAGGAGCACAGCTTTTGTATGTTACTGAAGTTAATCTGGTATAAATTCAAATTAGAGAGTTATAACTTTAATGTGTTAAATGTGATCCTTATGGTAACCACAAAGAAAATGGCTAAAGAATACACTCAAATAAAATTAGAACATAATTTAACTGATTCCAATCCTACTGAAACTATTCCAGGCAATCAAGAAAGATGGAACTCTCCCCAAGTCATTTTACGAAGCTAACATCACATTGATACCCAAACCAGGTAAACATCCAACAAAGAAAGAGAACTACAGGCCAATCTCCTTGATGAATACAGATGCTAAAATTCTCAACAAGATCCTAGCAAATCAGTTTCAACAACACATCTCAAAAATCATCCAAAACCAAATAGGCTTCATTCCCTGGGATGCAGGGCTGGTTCAACATTCATAAGACCACAGATGTAATTAAATACATCAACAGTAAATACATCAACAGATGTAAAAACAAAAACCACATGATTATATCATTAGATGCAGAAAAAGCTTTTGACAAAATCCAGCACCCCTTCTTGATAAAAACCCTCAAACATCTAGGCATAGATGAAACATACCTCAAAATAGTAAGAGCCATCTATGAGAAACCCACAGCCAGCATACTAATAAACAGACAGAAATTGGAACCATTTCCCCTGAAAACTGGAACAAGACAAGAACACTCACTCTCACCTCTCCTTTTCAACATAGTTTTTGAAGTCATAGCTAGACCAATCACACAAAAGAAAGAGTCAGGGGTATCCAAACAGGAAAAGAGGAAGTCAGACCTCTTTTCCTCTTACCTCTTCTCAGACAACAAGATTCTATACCTCAAAATCCCAAGAGAATCTGTCAAAAACCTCCTTGCACTGATAAAAGATGTTGGCAAAGTCTCAGGATATAAAATCAATGTGCAAAAGACAGTCACATTTCTATACACCAACAATAAACAAACAGAAACCCAAATGCAAAGTACAATCCCATTCACAATAGCCAGAAAAAAAATCAAATACTTAGGCATCTTTGTAACCAGAGATGTGAAAGACCTTTACAATGAAAACTACAAAACACTGCTCAAAGAAATCAAAGATAACACAAACAAATGGAAAAATAGTCCATGTTCATGGATTGGAAGAATAAACATTGTTAAGATGTCCATCCTACCCAAGGCAATCTACAGATTTAATGTGACATCCATTAAATTATCAGCAGCATTCTTCTCAGAACTGGAAATGACAATACA